GTCTGACTTATTTCAGTTAGGATAATGTTCTCACAGTTTATTTATGTCATTGCATGTATCCGAATTTCTTTCCTTTTTAAGATTATATTCCATTGCATTTTTAAAAATTTTTATTTAAAAATTTTTTTAACTTTTTTTTCTTTGGAAGATTTTATTTATTTATTTGACAGAGATTATAAGTAGACAGAGAGGCAGGCAGAGGGGGATCCCCGCTGAGCAGAGACCCCTTTGTGGGGCTTGATCCCAGGACCCTGAGATCACAACCTGAGCTGAAGGTGGAGGTTTAACCCACTGAGCCACCGAGGTTCCCCTCCATTGTATTTCTCATGTTTAAAAAATTCCACTTCTGTGACATGCTTGTTTATATCCTGTTGACCTCTTTTCTTTTTCTTTCTTTCTTTTTTTTTAAAGATTTATTTATTTATTTACTTGACAGAGAGATCACAAGTAGGCAGAGAGGCAGAGAGAGAGAGAGGGAAGCAGGCTCCCTGCTGAGCAGAGAGCCCGATGCTGGGCTTGATCCCAGGACCCTGGGACCATGACCCGGGCCAAAGGCAGAGGCTTTAACCCACTGAGCCATCCAGGTGCCCCTTGACCTCTTCTTTTGGGTGGCTCTTCTACTCAGTGATATTTGGGACTCCTTTTCTTTCCTCTCCTTTCTTTCCTTTCATTTCCTTTCTCCTTTCCTTTCTTCTCTCCTTTCCCTTTCACTTCCTTTCTTACTTCCTTTCTTTCCTTTTTTCCTTTCCCTCCCCTCCCCTCTCTTTTCTTTCTTTCAATTTTAAGTAATCTCCGTACCCATTATGGGGCTCAAACCCACTACCCCAAGATCAGGAGTCACATGCTCCATGACTGAGCCATCTGGCATCCCCCCAAGAGTTTTTTTTTTTTTTTTAAGATTTTATTTATTTATTTGACAGATAGAGATCACAAGTAGGCAGAGAGGCAGGCAGAGAGAGAGAGGAGGAGGCAGGTTCCCTGCTGAGCAGAGAGCCCGATGTGGGGCTCTGGGGCTCGATGCCAGGACACTGGGACCATGACCTGAGCTGAAGGCAGAGGCTTTAACCCACTGAGCAACCCAGGCGCCGCCCCCCACCCCAAGAGTTCTTTAGCAAGGCTCACTCTGAGAAAAAAAGAATCCCCACCCACTAAACAATTATTCCCTATTCCCCCCTTCCCTCCCAGCCACTGGCAACCATAAATTTACATTCTATTTTTTATAGCTTTAGCTAATCTGGGTATTTCATATAAAAGAAACCATAAAATGTGTCTGGCTTTTTTTGTGTGTTTCATGTTTTCAGGGTTCATCCATGTTATAGCATGAATCAGTATTTCCTTTTTCCGGCCGAACAGTATTTCTTGGTATGGAAACAGTCTGTTTACCCATGTGCCTGCTAATGGACAGTTAGGTTGTTTCTGTCTTTTGGCTCATGAATGGTGCTGCTTTGAACATTCATGTACAAGCATTGTTTATCTGTTTTTAGTTCTCTGGGGGTATATGCCCGGAGTGGAATTGATGGGTCATGCGGTAATTCTGCTTAACTTTTTGAGGAATTGCCAAACAGCATCCTACAGCGACTGGCCATTTTACATTCCTACCAGCAAAGTATGTGGGTTGTTCCTTTCTCCACATATTTACTAACATTATTTTTTTTAGTTTTTTTTTTTTTCTTATCCATCCTTATGGATGTGAAGTACTATCTTGTGGTTTTCATTTACATTTCCCTAGGACTTACAATGCTGAACCTCTTCTCATGGGATTTTTGGTTATTCGTGTATCTTTTTTTTTTTTTAAAGATTTTATTTATTTATTAGTCAGAGAGAGAGAGGGAGAGCGAGCACAGGCAGACAGAGTGGCAGGCAGAGGCAGAGAGAGAAGCAGGCTCCCTGCTGAGCAAGGAGCCCGATGTGGGACTCGATCCCAGGACGCTGGGATCATGACCCGAGGCAAAGGCAGCCGCTTAACCAACTGAGCCACCTAGGCCTCCCTCGTGTATCTTTTTTGAAGAAATGTCAGTTCGGGGTCCCTGGGGGGGCTCAGTGAGTTAAGCGTCTGCCTTCAGCTCAGGTCACAATCCCAGGATCCGGGGATTGAGCCCCACATCAGGCTCCCTGCCCAGCGGGAAGCCTTCCTCTCCCTCTCCCACTTGCCCTGCTTGTGTTCCCCCTCTCGCTGTCTCTCCGTCAAAAAAATAAATAACATCTTAAAAAAAAAAAAATCAAGTCCATTGCTCACCTTTTGTTTCTTGCTGCTGTAGTGTTTCAGGACTTCTTTATATATTCTGGGGACTAGGCCCTTTTCAGATCTGTGGTTTGCAAATATTTCCTTCCACTCTGTGGGCTGTCTTTTCACACATCCCTTTCAACTGACACTTATTAATATGAGTGTCTCTCACCATGCTTCACATCTCTGAAGGCTGAAACAGTGGCTGTAGGTCTATCTACCTAAACCGCATCCTCCTGCCCCCCAAGGTCAAAGGTAACATCACAATTCTGACTTTCTATTTCCTGTTTCCTAAAGAACCAGCCCTACTGAACAGATGTTTGGGCCTCAAGTGTACATCATCTCCTTTGTTGCATCGAACTTTGTCCAATGGTCCACAATTTTACATGATGCTGAATGGTTTTCCAAAAACGATTATACCAACTCACGTTTCCTGCTGTAACAGATGGAGATTCCTGATCCCGGTCTCCTCCAGCACTGGCTTTGTCCATTTTCTTTCTGCCAGTTGAATGGGTCTGAAATGGTATCTGCTAGTCTTGCTTTGCATGTCCCTGATCATTAATGAGACTGAATCCGTCTTACGTTTATCGGTCTTGACTGTTTTCTCTGCTATAAATGTCTGTGTCTTCTGGTTCTGTTTTCTGTCTTTTCGTGCTCATTTGAGAGTGTCTTGAGAACATCTGGATGTGTGTTTAGGGACAAGGAGGAAAGGCATTTGTACTTCTAGTTCTTGCCGGATTCCCCTCCTCAGGGGGCCTGCCAGGACCAGTCCCTTTTCCCTGCCAGTCCCAACAGTGGGTGCAAACAGTGTTTGTACCAGGACAGCTGGTGAGAAGGGGATTTCACTGCAGTCTTCAGCTGCCCCCTGCCCCTCTCCCAGCTTGTGCTGAGTGAGCTTGAGCACCTTTCCATTCGCCCCCTTCCTGTGGACCACCTGCTCGCCTCCTTCCTCCCTCCTCCTCCTCTCAGATCAGCTCTCTTCACAGATGTTTAAAAACAGAGGGATGTTTAAAAACATGTTTAAAAACAGAGGGATAGGGGCACCTGGCTGGCTCAGTGGGTTAAAGCCTCAGCCTTCGGCTCAGGTCATGATCCCAGGGTTCTGGGGTCGAGCCCTGCATCGGGCTCTCTGCTCAGCAGGGAGCCTGCTTCCCCCTCTCTCTCTGCCTGCCTCTCTGCCTACTTGTGATCTGTCAAGTAAATAAATAATTTTTTTTAAAGATTTTATTTATTTATTTGACAGACAGAGATCACAAGTAGGCAGAGAGGCAGGCAGAGAGAGAGAGGAAGGAAAGCAGGCTCCCTGCCGAGCAGTGAGCCTGATGTGGGGCTCGATCCCAGGACCCTGGGATCATGACCTGAGCCGAAGGCAGAGGCTTTAACCCACTGAGCCACCCAGGCACCCCTAAATAAATCAATCTTAAAAAAAAAAAAAAGAGGGATAATTGACATCGCTTCTCTCTCTTTAAAAAAAAAAAAATTATTTGTTTGGCAGAGAGAGGGAGAGCACAAGCAGGGGGAGCAGGAGAGGGAGAAATAGGCTCCCCACTGAGCAGGGAGCCCAACGCAGGACTTGATCCCAGGACACTTCACCAACTGAGCCACCTAGGCGCCCCCTCTTCTCTTTCTCACGGTATTTCACTTTCCACCTTCCTTTCTGGTAACGCCTGCTCTGGTCCTTGTGCTCTCCTTTCTCTTCCCTCCAGGTCTTTCCATCTCCTTGTGAATGTCTCAGCCTCCAGCTCTGGGTCCCCAGCCCCACTCACCCTGGCTGAGCCCTCAGGGTCTCTCCTTTCCTTCCTCCTGGGGGCTCGCCTGCACCCACGCTGCCTGCAGCTCCTCATTGCTCCCCTTTCCCTGTCCTGCCAGTCCCTCTTCCCATTGTCTCTCCCAGGGGCCACAAAGCAGGGCCTTTCTCCTCCCCTTTGCCTCCCTCACTTCCTGTCCCCGTCTTCTCCTGCTCCCCCCACCCTCCTCGCACTTCTCTTCCTCCCCCACCTCTGCTCCTCTACTGTCCTTTCTTTCTCACCCTCAATGATGTCCTCTAACACACGTCCTCTCCCCAGGGTCCCTGTCCTCTGCCACCTCTGGCTCCCAGGACTCCTCTTCAGTGGCCTTGGGTGGGGTATGGGGCTGTTGCATGATTCCTGGACCCTCAACGCCTTCCTTTCCCGCAGAGCTCCTGCAGAGGGGGCGACCTTACCCAGGCTGAACCTGGGGAAGTCCACAGGACCTCAGCCCCTGGGCCTGATTTCACTGTCCCCAGGAAGGCCCTGGAACTCTGCCAGTCTTGAGCAGGGGCCACCCAGCCTCTCACTTGCATGAGCCCAGTACCTTCTCACCTGTAAGCTGGGGCTGTGAGCGGTGGGCCGAGGGCTGCCCGGTGGTGTTAGGAGGGTCCTTGGCTACAGTGTTGGCTGGGAGCCAGGGACTCACCTAAGGTGGGGGGCGTCCCCACACACTGCTTGCTGAGTCCCCCGGGGGTGGGCGTGTGTTTTGGGGTGAAGGTGTCTCATCAGTAGGGTAATTAGAGTCCCCTTGGGGCCTTTGGGGATGGACCAGGGACTCTTAACAGGGACATAAGCTCTCAGAGAAGCTGGTTCCATTCAAGTTTTATTGGGCCCCTTTCAGCTTGGAGCTGGCCCTGGCCGGCGGTAGCCTCCACCAGCTGCCCACCCTTCCCAGCTGTGTCCAGCTGCCCAAGGGAAGGGAAGGGAAGGGAAGGGCAGGCAGAAGGAAGGGGCTGGAGACAGATCATTAGCCCTCCCCCCTCCCCCCCTGGGGGGAGGGCCATCGCAGTCTCCAGAGCTGGCCCCAGGGCCACCAGTCCAGCCGCCCCCAGCCAAATCCCAGCTATGGGGCACTGGGGGCGGCCCTTAAGGCTGGGCCTCTGCGAGCTATGTGGCCGGCGTGTGCCCATTGGCCAGCCGCCCAGCCGTCCGGCTCCGAGGGCCGTCGGTCGGGGTCGCCCCGGGCCTGGCAGCCGCGCCGTTCTTCAGCGGCAGGTGCTCTGGGACCGCCTCCCCGTCGCTCGAATCGGACTCCTCCACGTCGCTGCGCACGTCCTTCTCCATCTGGGGGGCGGGGCGGGGCATGAAGCTTGGGCCGGGGGCTGCAGGGAGGCACCCGCAGGCCGCCCCCGGCTCCCGCCCATCCCGCCCTACCCCGGCCCTACCCGGCCTTTCTTCATGAAGCTGTAGATCATGCGGAGGATGAGGCAGGACCAGAACACGTGCAGCAGCTGCAGCATCAGCAGGAGGACGTTGAAGAAGTAGTAGCCAAAGAACGGGCCCCCCTTGGCGATGGACTCGTAGTAGGTGGTGTAGAGGATCCTACAGCAGGGAAGCGGAGAGACGGACTTCAGCCGCCACCACGGCCCCCAGTCCTTGGGACCTCTAACTTGTGTGACCCTCCTTGCTCTACAACCTTCCATGGCTCCCTCCGCTGCCCCCCCCCCCCCCAAGAGACAGCGATGTTCTTTAGCTGGGCGTTTCAGTGCCCTTCTTGCCTGGTCATAGAAATTGTCAGAATGCACATGAACCCCAAGGGGATGCTTAGTGGCCCAGCTGCCCTCCCCCAACCCCGGTCCCCCAGTCAGTGAGCTTCTACTCTGCCCTGCCCCCTGGCTTGGCTGTGGGGTCACCAAGAGCCAGCCTTGCTCGGGCAGCTGGCTCTCCCTTCCTGGGCCTTCAGGGACCCACACTCCTCTGTTTCCTCCACAGGCTCCCCCGACCAGCAAATACTCCAGGTCACCCAGTGACCTCTTCCAGTCCTGTGGCTACAAACGCTGGACATGTACATCTCTGTCCAGAACCCCAGGCTGGTGGGCTCATGCCTCCTCCATGACATTTCTAAGTCCCCCCACAGACCCTGCAAACCAGCACTGCCAGAGCTGCGTACCTGTTCCTCAAGCAGCAACTCCAACCTCATACCCGTTTCATGAGCCTCGAGTGACTCTGACTGTACCCACTTCTGTCACCTGCACTGGTCCAGCCCCACCATGGCTCACCTGGGCCAGCACAGTCCCCTCTGCTGGACCTCCCTGGGCCCCCACAGTTCCTGCTCAGGCCTCTCATCAGCTATTCCCCAGCAGCCACCAGAGGGCGACTGTGAGCCTGTGGGTATGTCCCTCCTCTGCCCACAAACCTCCAGGTCTCCCTCGTCATTGGGGTAAAAGCCCAAGTCCTCCCTGAGAACCCCAAAGCCCCAAATGACCTGCCCCGTCCCCTCCTCCCTCTCTCCTCCTCACTCACTCTGCTCCACCCACAGGGGCCTCCTTGCCGTACTTCCACACCAGGCCCAGTTCTGCCCCGGGGCCTTTGCACATGCTATGCCTGCTGCTTGGACCACTCTTCCCATACGATCGGTCTTAAGTTCTCTCCCTCCAGTCTTTCTGTATGAATGCTGCCTCTTCCCTGACCAGCCTAATTCCAACTACCAACACACTCCCTGTGCCCTTCTCAACCTCATTTTCTCTTTAGCACATCATTCTCTCATGCTTTAGATTCTACTTGTTTGCCTTATTTACTATAGTCCCCCCCACCCCCCCACACACATTAGCCCCACCTGAGCAGGTATCTTCACCTTGCTCCCTCATCAGCAAATAGACTGGGCAGACTTTAGTGAGTGGGTGCCCAACCCTGCCTCCTGCTCCATGTTCCAGGCACAGGGGGGAATGACTGAGTCCAGACTTCTGTCTCTCCTACCACGGGGTCTTTGCACATGCTGTGCCCAGTTCCAGGAACACCTTTCCTTGCCTTGTCCTGGAAGCCACCCAGCCAACACCCCCAAGTCCATGGGTCAGGAAACCCAGAGGGAGGCAGGCCTGGATCTCAGACATGCCCTCCCTCCCTGCTCCCCCAACGGTGTGCTCACTGCGTCGGGAAGAGCACGAGGCGAGTATAGAAGAAGACCAAGGAGAAGATGATGAAGAGGGTGTCGCACACTTTCCGCCAGTGTGTGTAATTGAACATCTTGCCAGCCTGCGGAGGGCAACAGAGAGAACCGGCCGCAGGCCAATGGTGGGGACAGGGAAGTAGGTGAGAAGTAGGGCACTGGGAAAGGGCAGGGCCTCCTCTCCAGGAACTGTAGAAAGGTGTAGTGCGGCTCTCCAGGAGCGTGAGAACCTTCATTTCTACGGCCCCGCAAGCCACGAGGGGGCGTGGCCTCGTGGCCAGGGGTGTGGCCTCACGAAGGGCTAGGGTGTTGGGGGAGGGTGTTTTGGGGGAGGGTCGGGCTGGGCCAGGCCCACCTCCAGGAGGTAGTCAGAGGCGTCGTGCAGCAGCAGCACGAGGGAGCCGATGCGCAGCAGGTTTGAGCTGTAGGAGAACGAGATCAGCAGGATGGTCACGAAGTGGTGTGTCACCTGCTCCTTGAAATCCTGCGGGAGACAGTGGGTCACAGCAGGGATGAGGCTGGGTGGTGTGGGGGGGACACCCCGGCAGGATGGATGGAGGTCCTCGCAGGGAGCTGGTTGGCTGTGTCTGTACTTTTTTTAAAAAAGCATTTATTTATTTATTTGACAGAAAGACACAGGGAGAGAGGGAACACAAGCAGGGGGAGTGGGAGAGGGAGAAGCAGGCCCCCCAAAGAGCAGGGAGCCTGATGCAGGGCTCGATCCCAGGATCCTGGGATCATGACCTGAGCCGCAGACGGAAGTGTAAAGACTGAGCCACCCAGGCGCCCCTGGCGTCTGTACCTTGTGGACTCTGGGTCTCCCACCTGAGGCACCAGGGGGTCTCAGGGTAGGCGGTGAGGCCATCCCACCCTATGCAAGACTGGGTCCGTTTCCCCTCTTCCCACATCACTTCCCAGCCAGGCCTCACCTTGCGTCTGACATCAAAGGGCAGCGTGATCAGCAGTGAGACGTAGAAACTCAGCTCCAGGAGGTACCAATAGTACAGGGCTGGTTGCAGGGGCTGCAGGGGCGTCGGCCAAGGTTAGCTGTTGGGGTGGAGGCTCCCCAGGGGCAGGGATGCTCCCCAGGGCCCTCCTCGATTGCTCAGAACCAGGACCCTTGAATCCCAATGAGTGAAGAAGGAGTAAGATCCCTGTCCCCAGGGGTAGGCAAGGGCAGTGGTTTTGCGGCAGTTCCTACTCCCAGTTTCCGGGAGTCTGGCCCCTATCCATTCCACAGGGGAGGCAAAAATAGAGAATGGAACCTGGAGGGGGGTCGTGTCATGACTGGGTTTGGCTCTCCTGGCTGTGGCTGAAGGAATTCTGACCACCCCAAGCCCCCACCAGCCTCCGGGCTCTCCCTGCCACTCACCTGGTTTGGGTAATTGTCCCAGCACATGACTGGTGCCCACAGCCATGACTCCTGCAGGGACACAGAGTCTGAAGCTGCCCAGAAGTCAGAGGTTGCCCAGCCCTCTACCCCCCGGGATGGGTGGGGGGGGGTTTTCCCCAGGGCTGCTCTCATTCTGGACCCCCAGTTCCCGGGCACGGCGTGTCCTCCTGGGCACGTGGATGTCTGCTATGCCCGCTCCCAGTGCTCTCCCCGCCCTGTGCTTTTGCATGGGCTCCCCCTTCTGCCCGCACCCCTCCACCCCCCGCCCCCAGTCCGGGCCCAGTGCATCGGCACACTCACGTGGTAGAGGACCGACAAGCCTCCGAAGAAGGAGCAGAAGTAGAAGCTGAACCTCCAGCTGCAGGTGGCGAGGGAGCCCGTGAGGCTGCCACCGGAGGCACCCGCTTCCCCCTGCACCCCCAGCGCCCCCCACTTCCCCCAGCCCCAGGCTCACCTGGCCTCGCAGAACTTCTTGGTCAGGGAGGGCCGGTCCTGGTTCCGGCGCCTCCGGAACCAGCGCTGGATCTGTGGCAGCGTGAGGCCACACTGGACTGCGAGGACGGCCATCTGGTGCTGGGGAGGGGCGATTTGGGGAGGTCACAGAGGTGGCTTCCTTCCTGTCCCTGTCCCAGGACAGATGAGACCTGGCCGCGTTCCCCCCTCCCCTGCTACCCCAGACCTTGCCTGTAGGATTGTCTGCCTGTAGACATGGAGGCGGCCCCCCAAAACAGGCCGTATGCAAGCCAGCCCTGCTCACGGGAGAGACAGGTGGCTGATAGGGACCGGGACTAAGAAAGGGGGTGGCGGTGGAGCACAGGTTTTCCTCTACCCTTCCAGAAAAGTCCGGTCTTACCCCCACCCCAGGCAGGCAGCTGAGACCTCGCCTCCCACCCCTACCTGTAGAGAGAGGGTGACCAGGGAGGGAGGAAGGTCCTGCACACAGACAGCACAGATGGGAATGGGGAGGTGTCACAGGCCTGCGGTGGTCTCCCCCCAACCCCATCAGTCAGGTCTTCCTCTCCTCACCAGCTCAGGAGAGACCAGCCCCCCTCACCCCCACCACCCCCAGCCCCCCAGTCACAGGATCTGCCCACTGGGACAGGGGGGCTGGCTGGTGGCCTGGGGGTAGGAGCACTGTGGGTGTGCAGAGGCCGCCCTGGACTTCCTTGTTCCTGGCAATAGGGCCACATCCCATTCCCCAGGCCCCGCCCACAAGGGGGCCTGTGCTGGCCGAAGGGGATGGAGGGGGGCAAAGGGGGGCTCTCACCTCCTTGGGTTTCCACCCTTCTGTGAGGAAGTACTTCTCCAGAGTGGCATTGGGCTTCGCCGGCCTCCTGGTCTGATCACGCACACCGAGCAGCCAGCCCAGGGGCAGGCCAACAAATCTGGGTGCAGGGGAGACAGAGCCTGTCAAGCCAGGTGGGGAAACTGAGGCTCAGAGGGGCCGGGTCACATGCTGGGAGCTCCGAGGGGTAGCCCGGCCACCGCACTGGGACCAAACCTAAGAAAAGGCAGCTGGGTGGCTGGTCTTCAGGGTGGGGGTGTGAAGGTTAACTTGCGGGGTCTCAGGTAGCTTCACACAGTCCCCATGAGGAAGAAGGGCCTCCTCACTGCCTGTCTCATGGTCTGGGTCCCTGTCTGTCCCCTGCCAGGCTCAGGGGTCCCCACAGGCAGGCACGGTGTCGACAAGCAGAGGGGCCTGGTCCCTGGCCCATCACCACACGTCCCACAAGGGGGGGGTCCCCCTGGCAGTTCATACCCACCAACCATCACCCTGCATTGGGGGAAACGGAGACTCAGGGCAGCTCAGCAAGAAACTCCTTCCAGTCGCAACAGTGACAAGATGTGGGGGAGGAGGGGACTGTCATTTCTTGAGTGCCGAGCATGGGTACAGATCCGCATCAGCTGCGCGCTCATCTGACTCTACTGTCAGAGTCCCCACTGTCCTGATGGGCAAACGGGGGGCTCAGACAGGTCAGAGCGATGCCCAGGGCTGCCCGGCCAGGGAGGAGCAGATGGGCCCAGCATTGACTTTAAAAATGGCGAAAACCTCTGCCTTCGACCTTGGAAAAGCTGATGAGGGGACAGAAGGCCGGCTGAGGACAAAGCAGAAGCTGTCACCCTGCGACCTCCCCCCACCCCCAGTCCTGGGTGGGACACGTGTGTGCCATTCTTCCAAGAACTCCCAACTATCTTAAGGGTAAAACCTTGCTAGAGGGGAAAAACACCCTGAACCTGACAATGGCAAGGCCTCTGTTATCTCACAGGTCCTTTTTAGCATAGGAAAGCTCTTTTGAAACCTCTTTGTTCCTTACCTCCTTAACCCCTGGTACCTAATCCCTCGCAACCCCAGTGCAGCAGCTTTCCGCCCACAGCGCATGTCCCTGGAGCTTTAATAAACCACCATTTTGCACCAAAGAGGTCTCAAGAATTCTTTCTTGGCTCCTGACCCCACCCCCACTAAACCTGCCCTATATTCCAAACTTCACCAAAGCTATCCCATCCCCATGGCCCTTTAAAAGGACACCTCTGGGATGTGAACACACCCCACCTACATCTGATGAGGCCATCAGTTAAATAAACAACCGCTCACTCCAGGCTCCAGTAGTGAATCGGGGCAGGTCTCCTGTCGTCCCTGCCCTGCAGGAAAGGTGGGGAGCCCCGCTGACTTGAGCCTCTTAGAACCCCTTAGCAAAGGCCTCACTCAGTCCCAGATGACTCTCCCTCTGGATGACCACAGGCTGGTCCCTCAACCTCTCTGCCTCCATTTCCTATTCTGTAAAATGGGGACAGCAATAGTGCTGCCTCACGGGGTTAAGCTAAGGGCTGCCTTAGGATGCATAAGCTGCTCAGAGCAATGGTGGGCACACAGTAGGTGCTCAGAGGGTATCTGTTACATAAATACAACCTCTGTGGGTATTCCCTGGGTCTCCTGGGGTCCAGCCTGTATCCAGGAAGCCTGGTCTGGAGAGACAAAGCAAGAGGTAGAATGCTCCCGAGTCCCTGTAATCAGGGGAGGGCAAAGGGACCCAAAGCGGGGGGAGGGGGGATCTGGGGGTGGAGGGGGCTGAAGGGGGATAAGGGCTCTGGAGGGTGGGGGGAGGGATGGCGGAGGGGCCTGGTGGGCATTTCTGCAACCCAGCTTTGAAGCGACTGCAGAAGAGTGAGGGCAAAGGCCGGGTGGCCACATAGGAAGTAGTGGACCTGCAGAGGGCAGGGCGTGGGGAGGGAGGCCGGAGAGGGAATCTTGGGGAGGCAGCTGATCATGGAAGGGGGGTTGGATCATGGGGGTGCCAGCAGCAAAGGGGCCTGGAAGAACAGGTCTGAAAGCTGTAACTACAGAGTTGGTGGGAAGGGTGGGCTACCTGGGACCCAGGAAAGGGACCCCAGAGAGATGCCCACACCCAGGAGACAGACAGCCAGGGAAAGAGGAAGAGACTCGGTTTGAAGCAGTGTCTGGATCCCATGAGAAATGACTGAAAATCTACAGAGTTTGGGAACCAGGTTGCTGGGAACCTGTGGGGTGGGGAGGGTGGGGGGTGGCAAACACTCAGGGGCGTGGGCACCAGCAGGCTGCAAGAGACAGGGGGTGGGGACGGATGGGGGTGGGGTGGGGTGGTTTAGGGCACAAAAGGGGAAGCCAGTGCTTTTTGCTCCTTCCTTTGCTACAAAGGGAGGAGGGAAGCCTTAGGAGCCAGGAAGGAGGGGTTGAGGGTCACCCATAGGAGAGAGGCAGGAGGGAGTGGGCAAGAGGCAAGTCTGGGTGGCTCAGCTGGGTAAGCAGTTAAGCATCTGCCTTCAGCTCAGGTCATGATCTCAGGGTCCTGGAATGGTGCTGCCCCCCCCCCCGCCCCCAACTGCATCAGGCTTCCTGCTCAGCGGGGAGTCTCTGCTTCTTCCTATACCCTAGCCCCCTGCCCGACCCCCCTGCCTTGTGCCCTCTTTCTCTCAAATAAATAAATAAAATCTTAAAAAAAAAAAGTTTCTTTGCTCACTGACCGGCCTCTGCAGAACCTTACGTGGTCAGCAAAGCAAGAATGTGCCCTCCAGGCCCACTCCCCCACCCCCCGCCCCCCAGGTTTGCCAAAGATGCAGGTGCCTCCAGACACAAGCAGTAACCATGGTGACAGGGAACCAGCCCTCAGAGGCTGGAAGAGTGTGGGTGGTAGCAGCTAGGGGCAAGGGGGGTGCCAGGAAAGGCATGCCGGCTCCAAGCCAGGCTCTATCCAGGACACATGAGGATGAAACAACACAGGACAGTTCGCCAGGGTGAGCACTGTGCACAGTGGAGGACAACAGGGCCAGGCACCACCGCGAGGCATAAACTCACCTCTCGAAGGCCAAGCGCATGACCACCAGGACCAGCGCCACGGGCAGGGCTGCCAGCAAGTCCCGGGCGTGAGGATAGACCAGGCCATCCCGGTCTTCTAGGGCAGCCCACGTGTTGTTGGGTGGCAGCCACAGCCTCTCCTGCCAAAACCATTCGCTGAGGCTGGACAACATCCTGTGGGCACAGGGTCCCATAAATGGGAGCTCAGTGCGGGAGGGCCCACCACCCCATCCTCGCCCCCTTGTGCCCCAACACCCCGCAACCTTGACTTTATGACAGCCTGTGTGAAGGAGGGACTTGCACTGTGTGCCCTCAGGCAAGTGACCTGCCGGCTCTGAATCTCAAGTTCATTTGTCATGCAGCTCACCTGGGAGCCCAGCCCGCTAACGCAAAGTGTCTCCCTGCCTGCTGGTCCAGGAGACACACCTCATGAAAAGAGTTATTACTCTGCACTTCACAGGTGCAAAAAAAGGTGGCCGGAAGTCAAGGGACTGGCTGACTGGAGTCATAAACTCGAGTTCTCCAATGTCCTGGGAGGTGTCCCGCCATTGTGGGAAGGTGCCTCCAAGGCAGCCCAAAGGTGACAAACTGAGGAAATCCGCAATTCCCTTCCTGAGCATCCTTCCGGGTGTGAAGGTCGGCAGCCCCGCTGGCTGTGAGGCTGGGCTGTGGCTGGCAAGAGTCCCTGGTGCATGACGGTGCCTGCCTGATCACTGGAGCCGCAATTAAGTGAGCTTTCCTTCCACCAAGAAGGCTTTCCGACAGCCATCTTGAGGCGCCCAAGCAGCTTTGCCCTTTCCCAAGATCTTAAGACGAGTGCCCGGACCCCCACACTGGCCCCCACTTGGGATGTTTGTTCATCCTTATGTCTATCCATCCCATCCATCCATCCATCCAACCATCCACCTTACCTGCTGATCTGTCTGTCCATCCACCTGTCCAGCCATCCATCTACCTACCAACCAACCCACCTACCACCCATCTATCCATCCATCCAGTCGTATGTTCATCCATCCACCTGCCTGCCCGACTGTCCATCTGTCTGTCCACCCACAAGGTGTTCTCTGATTGACTTGTTCATGCCAGCGTGCAGCTAGGTGCTAGGGACACATCAGGGAAAAAAGCAGACATATTCCTGTCCCCATATGGGGGGCAGCCAACATACAAGTATACAGATTCATAAATGAGATAGGACTACGTGATAAGGCCTGGTAGAAAATGAGCAGGGTACCACGATTTTAAACAAGGTGACCAATGAAAGTCTAAGGAGATGCCTTCTAGGCAGAGACCCAGAGATAAGAAGGGCCTGGGTTTACACAGAGGAGAGTAGTGGTGGCAGGGAGGGACTTTCAGAGAAAGCAGCAGCAGATGCAAAGGCCCTGAGGCAGGACTGAGCTCATAGAGTGTTAGGGGACGAGCAAGAGGCCCCTGGAGCAGAATAAGCAAGGGGGAAGAGGGAAGGGGGGAAGGGAGGGAAGGGGACAGGGGCAAGTCATGCCGGGCCTGTGGGCTTCTGGGAGGAGTTGGGACGACTTCCCCCAACATTCGTGATGAAAAATTTCAAACCTACAGAAAAGTTGGAAGAATTTACAGTGAACTCCTACACCCCAGCACTAGATTCTGCCGCCCACATTTTGCTCTATCTGCTCTATCGGATATCTGCAAGTGCATCCATCCACCCTCCCTACCCCCCCAGATCAGGCCATCTTATTTTTCTGGATGCATTTTAAAACAAGCAGCAGACATCAAGCTGCATTACCCCTAAATATTTCAGCACGCAGATCATCAGCTAGGCTTCAATATTTGCTAATGGGTTTTTTTTTTTTCTTTCAAGGTAAAATCTGCTAGAGCGAAATGCATAAATCCTTCACCATACGGTTGCCGAGTTCGAACAAATACAGGCAGTCTCGTGACGCAGCCTCCAACCACGGACATTCCCCTCCTCCCTCCACAAAGCTCTCCGTGCCCCTCTCCGGTCAACTTCCGTCTCCTCCGGCTAAAGGTAACCTCGCTCTTGACTTTTTTTTTTTTTTTTTAAGATTTTATTTATTTATTTGACAGAGATCACACGTAGGCAGAGAGGCAGGCAGAGAGAGAGGGGGAAGCAGGCTCCCCGCTAAGTAGAGAAACCGATGCGGGGCTCAATCCCAGGGCCCCGAGATCATGACCTGAGCCAAAGGCAGAGGCTCAACCCACTGAGCCACCCAGGTGCCCCTCGCTCCTGACTTTTGTTCCCACCATGCATTCATCCTGTCTGCGCTAGAACTTCCTATAAGCGGAATCACATACTCCATCTTCGTGTCTGGCTTCTTTCGCTCTGGGGAACCGTTTTGAGATTCGTGTGTCATAGTATCTACCGGCAGCTCCCCCCCGCCGCCCCCAAATAGTGGATATGTACCATCTGCTTGTTGATGGCAACTGGAATGCTTCCCATTTGGGGTGATTAGGAACACAGCAATTGAGAGCAGACACATCTCCCGGGTCAGCCCTGAGGGCTGGGACGGCTGGATCTCAGGGAAGCCACCCATCTGACTTCATAAGCAGCGGCCAAACTGTTTTCGGGGGGGGGGGGGGGCTGTACCATTTTCCACTCCCACCGGTGATATTTGGGAGGTTCTGTGGCCCTTGGTTTTATTTTAGATAAGGACACAAGCCATGGGGTGTTGGTAACCTCGTGGGAAGTGGCTTCCTTTAGGAGGCCTTTCGGAGGCCAGAAGGAGGTGCTGTCCACTGGAAGGGGGTGGAGAGGAGGGGCAGGTTTCCAGAGACTTCTTTGTTTGTTTGTTTAAAGATTTTATTTATTCATTTGACAGATAAGGATCACAAGTAGGCAGAGAGGCAGGCAGAGAGAGGAGGAAGCAGGCTCCCTGTGGAGCTCGATCCCAGGACCCTGAGATCATGACCTGAGCTGAAGGCAGAGGCTTTAACCCACTGAGCCACCCAGGCGCCCCTGTTTTTTTGTTTATTTAAGATTTTACTTATTTATTTGACAGAGATCACCAGTAGGCAGAGAGGCAGGCAGAGAGAGAGAGGGGGAAGCAGGCTCCCCGCTGAGCAGAGAGCCCGATGTGGGGCAGAGACGTACACACAGAATTCCATTTTTATCAAGTTCAACAGCAGGCAAAACCGACCGAGGATGGCGGCATCTGTGTCCCGCAGCCACTGTCGCAGGTTACCACTAACGCAGTGGCAGATGTGTTCTCTCACGGTTCTGGGGCTCAGGAGTCTGAAATGGGGTCTTGCTGGGCTGAGTGCAAGGTTGGGCAGGGCTGGGCTCCTTTGGAGCTCTGGGGGAGAATCCATTCCTGCCTTTTCTGGCTTCTAGAAGCCACTTGCACTCCCTGGATGAAGGTCCCGTCTTTGTCTTCCAAGCCAACATCTCTCTCTCTGACCCTCCTGCCTCCCTCTTATAAAGACTGCTGGGATGACACTGAGTCACCGGGGAATCCGGGGTCAGCCCCCAAGCCAAGCTCAGCTCATCAGCAACCTCTAGCCCCCTTCGTCACACGAAGCTCCAGGATCAGAACGTGGGCGTCTTTAGGGAGCGTTATTCCGTGACCACACTGCTGGGCATCGGGGCAGGCGGCTGCCTTGGGGACAGGCAGTGACCAGAGGGGCCCTGTAGGGTTGCCTAAGGCTGGCACGTTCAGTCTCCTGATCCGAGCCAGTGCTCTTCTGGTTGAGGAAATGCACTGAGTCATCCATCTCTGATGTGGGCCCTTTTCTCCTGCTAATGAAAATGCCTGCATTTTAAAAGTCCACCATTCTGATTCCAATCCCAGCGTGTGGGCTTGTCCATGGGACTCAACTCAGTTCTGACACTGGACCTGGAGACAGCATCAGATCCCACGAGGTAAGGAGCTCAGTCCTACAGAGACCCCCCACTTCAGCCACCAAGTGTGTCTAAATGAAATCGTCACCTGTGCTTCTGGCCAACTGGCTGTAAACCAGAGGACCCCCGACCCCCTCCTGGGGGTTTTGAGTAATTCACTAGAGTGGCTCACAGAACTCGGGAGAGACATTTTACTTACTAGGTCACTGGTTCATTAGACAAGGACACAACTCGGGAACAGCCCGATGGAAGAGACATAGACAGCCAGGTGGAGGGGAGGGGCCCCCCACCTCCACGTGCATCACTCTCCCCAAATTTCCATGCACGCACCAACCAAGAAGCTCTCTGAACCTCGCCCTTTGGGTTTCTGGGGAGGCTTCATTACAAAGCCATGCTCAATTAAATCATTGCTCACTGCCCTATGAGTCAGCCTGCAGCCCCTTCCCCTCCCTGGAGGTGGGAGGGGGCTGCACTAAATTTCTACTCTCTCTCTCTTCACTCTTTGCCTTCCCTGACAACCAGCCTCCTCACCCTGGTGGCCCAGAGGCTTTCCCAAAGTCGGCCATGTCAACCTAATGAAGGACACCTAGATCACCCCCATTGCTGGAAATTCCAAGGGTTTTAGGAGCTCAGTGTGAGACCAGAGACAAAGACCAAATATTTATTTCTTACTATAAATCATAACATCACAAGTCGAATACAGGAAAAAGAAAAATTCTGAGAGTCTGGGTCTCAGAACCAGCATGTGGCTGGCGTTCAAGTCCATGGGGAGGGATGGACCAGCCCAGGGAGGGACGGAGATGAAGGAGCAGTCTGCAGTCCCCATGGTGGTGGGGGGCACATCTGGCAGTCAGTGAGGTGATGAGCAGCGGCAGCAGCCTGACAAACGGTCAAGGGTATATGACAGCAGCTAGTCTAGACCCAGCAGGCTCAGATGGCCCAGACAGAAGGGACAGATGGGCACAGAATCTTCTGCCTGGGTGGTTGATTGCTCTACAAGAAACTAGCTGCACTGACAGGCAAGGTTGGCTTGATCTGGTGCACCGCCCCCCCCCCCCCCCCCCCCCCCCCCCCCCCACCTGAGGGCGCATGCCCAGCCTGGCATTCCCACTTCCCAACTGGAGCCAAATCTACAGCATGGTACCTCTAGCCTCCTCCCACTTTCTCAGCAGACCTCCCTCCCTCCGCCGCCCAGTGCAGATGCAAATAGGCAAGGAGTCCCAGGAAAGCCCCCAGCCAGCCGGAGCTGCGGCAGATACCCGGGAGTCCCGGCCCCCTACCCATATGCTTCCCCCACTCAAGGATGCCCAGATGAAGACCCACCACCTCTGTGCCACCGGCA